TAGCCGTGTCTTGGTTCTGAAGGAGTCCAGGTGGAATATTCAGCATGTTTCTGCTGCCTCATGTCGTAGCAATCAGGACACACACATTCCTCCACAGACTTCATGGCACATTTATTGTTGAAGCAGCACGGGGTTGTTCCTTTAGGATCACACAAGGCTCTTATCCACTCAGCAGTTTTAGATCCGGTGTGGGTAACATTTCCACAGAGGCCATCAATCCTTTGATAATTCTTAGGTAGGGTGTATCGGACATTCACGTCAGACAGAAAGTTCAAAATATCTTCATCTTCCCTTTTTGTCAAAGGACGTGTTTTCCAGTGTCCTGTCAACAAATGCGATAAGATACTCGAATGTTGATCGAATGGTGTGATGTTTTTAGGTAAAGGATAAACCGATATGCCGATTGCTGGCGGATAGATTTGGAACATATGACTTGACATGTTGCTGAGCATGTCAAAAGTCATAACGCGAGGGCCGCCCATGTACGTAACAAGAGTTACAAAAGGTGCTATCAATAACATCATAACGAATATCTTCTTGTATGAAGCCATGGCTGAAACAAAACAAAACGAAACTTATATTCATTGTTTTGACATGTTATATATGAAAATTAACATTGAACAGCTTTCTTATAGCACATAGTTTGAACAGCATGCGTAGTAGAAAAGATACGAAGCAAGAGACGAGGTGCAATGTAGACACAAAAGGCTGTAACTATAGTGAAAGCTTTACTACGGCCCTGGATGGTGTAACCCTGGTCAAACAACTTTTGAGCAAGAGACGAAGTGCAATGTAGACACACAAGGTTGTAACTATAGTGAAAGCTTTACTACGGCCCTGGATGGTGTAACCCTGGTCAAACAACTTTTGAGCAAGAGACGAAGTGCAATGTAGACACACAAGGCTGTAACTATAGTGAAAGCTTTACTACGGCCCTGGATGGTGTAACCCTGGTCAAACAACTTTTGAGCAAGAGACGAAGTGCAATGTAGACACAAAAGGTTGTAACTATAGTGAAAGCTTTACTACGGCCCTGGATGGTGTAACCCTGGTCAAACAACTTTTGAGCAAGAAACGAAGTGCAATGTAGACACACAAGGCTGTAACTATTGTGAAAGCTTTACTACGGCCCTGGATGGTGTAACCCTTGTCAAACAACTTTTGAGCAAGACACAAAGTGCAATGTAGACACACAAGGTTGTAACTATAGTGAAAGCTTTACTACGGCCCTGGATGGTGTAACCCTGGTCAAACAACTTTTGAGCAAGACACAAAGTGCAATGTAGACACACAAGGTTGTAACTATTGTGAAAGCTATACTACGGTCCTGGATGGTGTAACCCTGGTCAAACAACTTTTGAGCAAGAGACGAAGTGCAATGTATACGCAAAACAGAATGCCTAGTAGAAAAGATACTCTCATGACTGACAAAACCGATTGTTTGCTTATTGCCTTATATGCAAACATAAAAGACCATTAACTGTGTAAAACTAATCATTAACTTTATACGACATGCTTCGTGTATTTTGTGGTATTCTTACTCTGACTTTGACCAATGCACATCAAGAATTTTCAGAGGTTTCAAATCACAATACCAACCTCTAATTGAAACAGCATCATTTGACGGCTGAATCACCGAAGAAGATAAAATACTTCGAAATACTGATATTCACAATTTTCGGAATAAAACCGTGGCCCAAACTACATGGTATTTCTCAATATACAAGTTATGCATTAAAAATTGCATTTTGTTCTATTGGTGACAGTCATTAGTACAAGACATTCTGTCATCTTGTTAACGGATCTGATGTTTTTATATTCCTCCCAAACAA